GGGAAGATAAAAGAAGGGAAGAATGTCATCAGTCCCAAAGATTTGTTCTGGATGTAAAAATAAACTTTCTAGGAAGGAATACATGATGTGCTCCGCATGTGGCTTAGGTTATGATTTGTTATGTGCTAATATAACACCTAAATCTTACTTTCTTATGGATCAAGACCGTAAGAATAACTGGNATCATTTAAAGTCCCGCTATTATTATGTACAGGCACCGTAGATGTTTGCGCACGCGCTTGAGTCAGCTGATGCGCTGCCGCCGACGATTCATTCGCGGAACTTGTTTTGTTACCGACCGATATTGGCTCTGCCATTACCCTCGACGCGTAACTATCGCTCACCGCTACCACCCCCTCACTGTGTTTATTGAAGATAGTTTTCGACACCGGAGATGTTTTGGGATTAATTTGTTTAGGAGAAGATGAATTTATTAATATCTCACTTTCATTTACACCAACTGTGTCATACTCGTAATGAGACAATCCCATGGGGCCGCTGTCTAAATATCCACCGCGCTTCATATTAATATTCATACTACGATAACGATTCGAGTGTTCAGGACTTAAGGTTGATTTTATTTCCTTTATCTCATTTCTCAATTTATCCACTTCACTTAAGGCGGCATAAGTCGATCGGATATCACATACATCTGCTTTGAGAAGAACTAAGTCCTTTAATAGCTTCGAGACATCTAAGTGGTCGAAGGTTATTGGGGGTAGTTTATCCAAATCTCTAGCCACAAAAACTGGTATTATCTCCACATTGGTAGACTTAAATAGCGATATTATATCCAACATATCCCGATTTTCTTTTCCCTCCTTTTTACGTGCGATTTTTCGCATATCCGTTGGTAAGGATTCAAATAACAAAGTTTTCGATCGTTTTATTGCCTCACTTTTAAACGCAGAAATACATATCTTTATTAAACTCACTTCGTCAACGACTGAAATCTTGTTCTGAATGTAAGCTAACAGTTCGTCAATAACAATATTGCACGAATTACACTTTAACGCAGACGTCATTGTCACCGCTTTCCGTAATAGCTAAACGCACCCGTCTTGCGTGGAGGCGCGCGGACGACTTTTTTTATGACTTGAACAACAATTTAAAAAAATTTAGCTAATGCTTATAATTCACAGGCTTCTTAGTTTATTTTTGTTCAATTCAATATTTATTGTAATAATAATTATTACTTAAAACCATGAATTATTTAATATTTTTAGATATTAATGATTCCATTAGTAAAAATATCAAAGGCCTACCATTACTCTTCTTATTATATATGATCAGAGAGTTTTGGCAGCAACCCGAGTGAAGCGTCACTTGAATTTTTATTTTAATGTTTTTTTAATAGTTTATTGTGTAATTTGTATTTGTAATATTGTGTATAAAAGGTCTGCGTAAACTCATGCTCAGTCAATGTGGTATTCGTCGAGTTGACGTCAAAACTCCCAAAAAGCAATAAAAAGAGATACAACGGCTTTTTATTGACATAAAAAATATATAACTTCGACAGACTTGGCTGTATAGGCTACGCTCCTTGCCTGCTTATTGGTGAATTTAAAAACAACAACAACAATATCGTTGCCGGCTTCTGGATTTTCATTTTATTTTATTATTATTATGAGGATATAATAATAATAAAATGTACGTAAGGGCTTATTTCTAGCAACATTAACCACAATTAACTTATTTAATACTGTAAATAATTATGAGAGCGATTATTGATTTCGAAGAAAACAATTAACAACTTAGTTTTAGCTGCAGAAAAAAACAGATTTCTCTTAAACCTGGGTGAGAATATAAAAATCGTTTTCTGAATATGAAACGATATTTCTTTGTCTATCAAATTAAGTTAAAACCATCATGACAGGACAACTTTTTTTAGGGGCCCAAACGCTTCATAGAAAATGGGCATTGTCCTTTGGAAAAAAAAACATATCGACGCTTGAAAGGCAAACGTGACTAAACGACAATAACTGCTTTGTATATACATAAATGATAGGCAATAACCATATTCGATGCGCAAAAAAAATATATTTCTAGGTCTATTAAAATCATTTCAATCCTACAGTTAGATTCGTTAAAAATTTTTTTTTTTCAGGTATTTTAACTTTAAATTAGTCTACTGTAAAGTTCACGCATTGTCGCTTAGTCACGTTTGCCTTTCAAGCGTCGATATCAAAAAAACTTCTTCAGCTTCACTGGTGGTAGGACCTCTTGGGAGTCCGCACGGGTGGGTACCACCACCCCGCCTATTTCCGCCGTGAAGCAGTAATGCGTTTCGGTTCGAAGGGTGGGGTAGCCGTTGTAACTATACTGAGACCTTAGAACTTATATCTCGAGGTGGGTGGCGCATTTACGTTGTAGATGTCTATGGGCTCCAGTAACCACTTAACATCAGGTGGGCTGTGAGCTCGTCCGACCATCTAAGCAATAAATAAAAAAAATGTTGCTTAAACCGCCTTTAACCCCTCGACATATTATTATGTATATACAGGGTATAGAGTATTTTCTTTGTATTCCGTGAGTCATAGATGTAAATTTATTGTCATTATATTATTTTCGTCATCCGTGACCACTGTAACCGTATAGTACCTATAGGAAACGTTGGAAATAATATAAAGAAAATAATAAAAGAGCGAAACAGTAAAAGCAGTTTTAGTTAAATAAATAGGTTGCTTAGAAGGTGAAACCTAAAGCAAACAGGAATAAATGACAACTGTTCGTCATTTATTCTTGTTTCTGTAAACAATATACCTACTTATATCTGGAATTATAATTCGATTCCACATTTGACATTAGCTACTGTCATTTTGTAAAATAATGATAATACATCTATCTGTTTTATTTCTCATGTTCTTTCATGATCACATTTTTTTATTTATTTCACACACAATTATTAAAGAAAACTCTCAGATCGTTAATTAATCGTCAAAACTAAATAATCGGTTCAGAAATATTTAATTTCCTGATATGTTTAGTTTACGAGAATAAAATTATAAACGAGAAAAATCGATCCGGAAATATTCCATTTCCATATCGAATAATTTCACAACGTCACTATTTAGTATGAGGGAGTTCATATAGTCCCTTCTTTATTTCGCCGTAGTCGTGTTTTATGTAATTAACACCACAGTTGAATCAATATAAATTTTATTGTTGTAGTGGCATAAAGTAATTACATTAAATTAGTTATTATCACATTATAAATTATTTTTATGTTTTTCATATTTGGCGGTAAAAAGGTCTTGTGTCACAGACTATATTCTTTTTCCCACATCTCGTGCGTTCCGGCTNACAAATATGGCGGCTTGTCTTTGCTTGTTGGTTCGGTTCCGGCGTGATAACCTCGTCACTCATTGTAGAGCCTTGGAGGTTTCACGAAACGGAAGATAATCATAACACTTGTTTGAAACAAACTTTCTACTTCAAATCTCGAAAGTTGCTTATAACATTTTAAATTACTAACTTCTTAAAATATTAACGACTGCACGTGGGAAAAAAACGACGCAACAATGACAAATATGGCGGCTTCTCTTTGCTTGTTGGTTCGGTTCCGGCGCGATAACCTCGTCACTCATTGTAGAGCCTTGGAGGTTTCACGAAACGGAAGATAATCATAACACTTGTTTGAAACAAACTTTCTACTTCAAATCTCGAAAGTTGCTTATAACATTTTAAATTACTAACTTCTTAAAATATTAACGACTGCACGTGGGAAAAAAACGATGCAANTATAATTTTTTACTATATAAATATGTGCATTATTTCTTATTTAGTAATCTGTGAAGTTAGTAGTGTGTGTAGTTAGCTCTTGTTTTCATGTTGTTTTCAAATATATATATTGCTGTAACATGTCATAGTGTGTTATAAGAGATTGCTGTACATGCCTGTAACTGGCTTACATACCAGTACTTAATTTTATACATGTTAATTTTAAGCTTCAATGTTTTGTGTGTATTGCTGTTGGTGTGTCTAAATAAATAAATAAATAAATAAATAAATAACCTCGTCACTCATTGTAGAGCCTTGGAGGTTTCACGAAACGGAAGATAATCATAACACTTGTTTGAAACAAACTTTCTACTTCAAATCTCGAAAGTTGCTTATAACATTTTAAATTACTAACTTCTTAAAATATTAACGACTGCACGTGGGAAAAAAACGACGCAACAATGACAAATATGGCGGCTTGTCTTTGCTTGTTGGTTCGGTTCCAGACGTTATAGAGGGCGCTGTAGGCGGGACTTAGGAAACGGAAGTAGTCAAGTTTAGCGACCTGCAGTGGAAATCATACGATGTACTCTCATAATGGACTTCGGACGTCAAACGGAACACATAATACATTTTTACCGACGCAGTTCTATTCAATACAGAATAGAAAACTTTGAAACGTGAACCCGTCGACCCATCTAAGCAAAAAAAAACCTAAATACATATTGTTAATGGTAGAATCTTAGATATTTATGAAACAAAAACGTAATTGCGTCTCTATAAAAAATTTAAAACAGAATTTAGAGTAGTTCATTTATAATAGGTTCTTTTTACATTAGTAATTTATAATCTATAAGTAAATAGATAAAATTATTGCGCTCATACATTTTTTTTTTAATAAATATCACTTATGAAGTTTATTAAGCTATCTCTAATAAGTCGATCTCACAGCAAAGAAAGAAAGACTGTTGAAAGACTGTGGTATTTGAGTGTGAAGCCATGTTCATTACATGTATTTATTAAGCAAAAAACTTCAGTCTCCAATTTTTTCAATATAATAAAGGTGGCAATTTGTTGTTTTTGTAAGCTGATATAAAAGTACTGATTTTTTACGGAGCGGGTGCTCTGGAAAGAAAAACAACGCATGACTGCTTTTCAAGAAATAGCTTCCTATGAGGCATTGTGGTATTTCTGTGGACCTTGACGCATTTCTTTTCATTTTAATTGATTAACTTTCGCAGTTACTACACAGACGCTCAATGATGATGGAATGGTGTTACCTTTTCAGAGGTGCTTGCGGGCGAATTCAAAGCTGATAAGCTTTGAGAGCGTCGCTTGTTGGAATCCTCGCCCGAAGCCGGCTCGTCGCATTCGAACACTTCGTCATCTTCGTCTGTACACATCGACGTCACCGTGTCTGAAATAGTGATGTACCAATTAACTTTCTAAATTTAATCACATTGAAAATCCTAACGTCATAACATCCTTTATCTCGTTCTACCTATTTAAATTTATTCTACATCAATCTTTGTTACGAAACATATTTCGTTCCATTTACAAAATATTTTCATAGACATCGGTCTATTATAAAATAGATGTCCTGATTCAATTTCTGACCATATGAATGCCGCTTTTAAAGTTCCTGCTAGCCAGTAGAAGCAACTAAAAAACAATAAATGACTCACCATTAGTCTCAGTCTTGATCTGGTCTTCAGACTTGATGTGCGCGGGCGTGTGCGGGGTGTGAGGAGTGTGCGGTGTGTGCGGCGTGTGCGGAGTGTGAGGGGTGTGCGGGGTGCGCGGGGAGGGCGGCGCGGAGGCGGGCCCGGGGCTGGGGGCGCTCAGTAGCGGCACCAGGGACTGCCACGGGAATGCACCGCACGATACTCCGCTCGATACTGAAAGAGTAAACCAAGATAAAAACATCATAGGCCCAGCTTGCCTCACTTTTTTTTCCCCTACGTATTCTAGTAACCTCGAGGGGTTATTCTAGATTCACCAAGTAGGTGAGCTCACGGGGCTCAAGCCGGGAGTGTTGCTAACACTGGCCCTACCAATAGCCGTGCCAAAAGAAAATATACTCGTACTGGTTATTTGTATGCTGAACTACATTGTTTTATTAAATTTCAAGGCACGTCCTTGGTAGATCGTAGTGTTTCGTCAGTAAACAGTAAATCTTGGTTCTAATCAATATCTGCTCTATAACACCATTTTGATATCAAGAACTGATTTCGAGCTAACTTCGACAGTTTCCCGAATAGATTTGAAACCGTTGCTCACCGATAATGGCCGTATGTGACGTGGGCGGCGGTAGAACGGGCAACAACTGATTCGGATGTACTATCACGGCACTGCTGTTCACGTTTATACTGTTTACCTGGAAAATAAACATAATTATTACCTTTTTTTTTTAATAAAAATTTTAAAGACCAGCCTGTATGTTTAATAATAATGTTACTTGACAAAAAAATAATGGAATAGTTCTTTTTAGCACAATCTGTGCCAGGTCATTGAAGGATTTGTTGATCTTAAAATTTAGAAGCTAGATTTATCATTATTTTTGCATAGGAGGTTTGAACTCTCGGCCCCCTAGTATCAAGTGTTTGACAGGGTCCATAGATATCACCAAGTTGGATGTCATGAGGTCTTACTCACTTATCGTGAATTAACACTGTCCTTACCTACAAATCAGGACATGAATTTCGCAGCAAAATCGGGCAAGTTCACATTACTTTTTTATTTTTATTTTTTATTGCTTAGATGGGTGGACGAGCTCACAGCCCACCTGGTGTTAAGTGGTTACTGGAGCCCATAGACATCCACAACGTAAATGCGCCACCCACCTTGAGATACAAGTTCTAAGGTCTCAAGTATAGTTACAACGGCTGCCACACCCTTCAAACCGAAACGCATAACTGCTTCACGGCAGAAATAGGCGGTGTGGACTCACAAGAGGTCCTACCACCAGTAATTACGCAAATTATAATTTTGCGGGTTTCATTTTTATTACACGATGTTATTCCTTCACCGTGGAAGTCAATCGTGAACATTTGTTGAGTACTACGCCCCGCTACCCACAATTTAACCATAAAATCTATTGATCTATAAATACTTACATGGTCACCATTATCCAAACTTCTGTGTTCGGTCTCTGAATCGTTCTTGTTTAATTGCTGAGTCATGTGATTCAACTTTTGTTCTATCTGCGAAATTGATTAGAGCCTATGTACAAGACATCGACGACTCGAGATGAAACTATTATTATAGAATTAAAATTGCAGAAGACACAAAACAGTACATACATAACATATGGAGTGTGTGCATTCATAAATGGAAACCGTAAAAAAAAGAAACATAATAATGAATCTCCATTTTTATGTTTTATTTTTTCTTCATTTCTATCTAGAAATCTAATTTAAAATTTAATACTTTTACAGTATTCTCTTTTTTTCTTTTTACTGTAACCCGTGTCCCGAATGGTGGCTATATAAAAATAATAAAAGGAAAATAAATAAACGCAAGATTGTCAAATGTCGAAATGAAATCAACGTTTGAAAACTCAAATACGTTTTTTTTTAATAGTTTTTATAAATGAAGTAAAAAGTTCTACGATTGTAAACAATTGTATTTTCAGTTAAAAATTTATAAATCTGTGACTTACATGGACGGTTTCAGGCGGTTCGTTTTTGATTAAAAAATACTTTTTGTCCATAATATTCTGCGGTATCACATAGACAGTTTTGATCGGTTCTTGCTTGACCTCCGGGTGCACGACGGGAAGCAACCTGGCCGGCAGTGGCGAAGGCTTCAATATTCTCTTTTCCTCCACGGTCACTCGAGCCTCTGAGAGTTCCGGAGGCCTGTCCATCACGCTACGGAGCACGTTGTGGTCTCGCTGCGGCACGGAGTGGTCGTCGTCCTCGTACTCGGAGGCCCTCCGTTTCCCAAAGTTCTCGTGGCTCAAGGGCGGCGACACATCAGTCTCGCGGCGATACGACTCGTGGATGCCGTTCCTCAGCAGCGACTGGCGGTACATGTTGTGGTCAAGGTCGAGGCCGTTGGCGGAGGGCACGGCTCTGTGCACGACCAGGTTCTGTGCGAAGTCGGCGGGGCGCGCGGTGGGGGCGGCGCCGGCTTGGCTCGCGGCGTTAAGGTTGAGCGACACGCCGGCCGGCAGACTCACGAGGCCGGACGAGGGCGCCGTCACACTCGTCTGTATCAAGCTCTGGGCGGTGTGGCCCGCACTTTGAGCGCCAACGACGTTTGACTGCGACGAAGGAGCGTTCAATACTGATGTTCCGTTCCGGTTTTCAACCTAAAATAGAATACGAAATTAAATAAATAATATTTAATTTGTCTTCCTTCTTTTTTGTTCAGATTATTTACACTTTGCACTTGTAGGAGACAGTTCGATAACAGATAATGGGTGTCGAGTCTCACAGCACAGCCCACTGAGTTTCTCGCCGGATCTTCTTTGTGGGTCGCATTTCCGATCCGGTGGTAGATTCTGCGAAGCACTGCTCTTGCTAGAGTTAGTGTTAGCAACGTCGTCAGGTTTGAGCCCCGTGAGTACACCTACCAGTTAAGGTTACGCTGAATTGGTCTCTCAAGACCATCCGATTAGGTAAGAAAAAAAAAGTTGCCGAAGCGATGGGTTGTTGTGACTTGATGCCTTTAGGAAAAAGCAAACGAACTTTATGGTTTATATGGTATTCAGTGCCGATTGGAGCCGCCCACAAAAACGAGAACGCAGCGGATGGCTCAAAACTGTGTGTTATTATTTGAAGTATTCAATTACCGGATAGTGATAGCTCGGGGCGGGTGAGACTCTTATAACGCTGGTGGCCACTCCTCCGATAGGCGAACTGACTCTTCCCGGTCTCACTTCAGGCCTAGAAACAAAAGTCAATATCGACGCTTGAAAGGCAAACGTGACTAAGCGACAATGCGTGAACTTTGCTGCTTTTTTGCGGTAGGCAGCGGCTTGGCTCTGCCCCTGGCATTGCTGAAGTCCATGGGCGACGGTAACCACTCACCATCAGGTGGGCCGTTCGCTCGTCTGCATACGAGGGCAATAAAAAAAACTTTACAGTAGACTAATTTAAAGTTGAAAAAAAATCTATTTTAACGAATCGAGCTGTAGGATTGAAATGATTTTAATAGACCTAGAAATATAAATTTTTTTGCGCATCGAATATGGTCTGGCCTATCGTTTATGCACAAAGCAGTTATCGTCGCTTAGTCACGTTTGCCTTTCTAGCGTCGGTATTCATTTGACTCCTTGAATAATAAATACCGAATGGTAATTTCAACGTCACTGTACTAAGATTGTAATTATACATCAAGGAATGTGACTGATTCACGAGTGCTTAAAAAAATGCATAAATTAGTTGCGCTATTCATTTTTAAAATTACGATACTTAAATTTTGATGGCCGTCGCAGCCGACATCCAAGTTATTTTATAGTTAGATATTTTCTTACTCATGCTGTATTAGGCGCGAAACAATTCATGAGTTCGGTTTAATGGATACCCCCTTAATCTCAACTGTAAGTTGTATGGGAGAATGTTCTTTATCCTTACGTTTCCTTCGTCACATCGCGGAACTAAATCTTTAGGACCCCTACACTAAAGGCCCTGAGGTAGAAGTCTCCTATTGCACTTAATAGATCATAACGCATACTCTCGACATTATTCCCTTTCCAGGGATGGGAGAACGCATCTTAAAGTAGGTACCTGATGAGATGGTGGTGGTAGAGCGCGGTGTGCGGGGCGGAGTGCGGGGGCTGCGGTGAGGAGATGGGCACGAACAGGTTGTTGCGGAGCCCCGGGGACCCGCCCCCGCCCACCGGGGACGCGCCCGGGCTGCCCGACCGAGAGCTGCCCAGCGACACTGCACACAACACAACCATCCCTACAGACTGTGCCTTACACCAGCCGCACATTCTCAGACGCATCTATTAGAACTAGTTAGTGGTCTCTCTGTAGTCGAAATTCGACTATAATGAATTAAAATTATAAGTTTGAACATTATTATGGTTCTATTGTCAAAGACTAATACTTCTATAATCACAGATTTCGCCAAGACTACACTTCAGACTTAATTAGAAATCAATTCGACCACAGACTAAGCAATAACAAAAGTCTGACTATATAATTTATAATTTGTTTGATAATATACATAATATGTGTGTGTCAAATACATGGTAGTGTATATTCCTTCTCTATATTCTCTTTATGTGTGGGAAATTTCATACTCCTCCGTCCGTGCGATTTTCGTAAAAATGGGTACAAAGTTTTTGGTTCACGTATTAATATAGATAGTTAATAGCGTTCAAATAAGTAATTTGCAGATACATTTTAAAATACCGTTCTCATTATTGTAACTATCGTGATCCTTTTTATAAACATGTATAATGAATGTACTTCCGGCAATAAAAGTCTTCAACTGAAATAAAGTCAGTACCACAAGAATCTCGCTCAAGCGGTGTATATTAGTTTGTAAGCATGCATCAACGACAGATTTTGTGTAGCAATTTCTCTCCTCCCTTAATTTTGTGTGAAATTTATTCTAGTCGAGATTCGAAACGCGTTGTGACCATGGGTCCACATGTCCAGGCTATGGGATGGCTGACGGGAGCGAGGCTACCCTTACCTAGCATGTTGGCGGCCTCGGTCTCGTCGGGGTCGAACCTCCCCGTGACTCTGTAGTGAGGGGGCGTGGTGTCGCTCTCCCGGGACGTTTCGTCTCCCTCGACGCCCGTGCCGCTAGACGACAAAGATTTACTGCTACTCCTGAAATCGAACGCGTTGAATATGTGGTAATCATTGCGACCGAGGATTATAGATAAAAAATAGCAGTTGTTCAATTATATTGATTAATCATGTGTTAATAGTAACATGAGTGATGGCAGTATCATTATTGTGCTGCTTCAGCTCACCTGATGTGAGACCAGAGCCTTCAAACCGAAACGCATTATTGCTTCACGGCAGAAATAAGCAGGGTGGTGGTACCTGCCCGAGCAGACTCACAAGAGATCCTACCACCAGCAATTACGCAAATTATAACTTTGCGTTTTTGATTTTTATTACACGATGTTATTCCTTCACAGTGGAAGTAAATCGTGAACATTTGTTAAGTATGTAATACATTAGAAAATTTGGTACCCGCCTGCGGGATTCGTACACCGGTGCATCGGTAGATACGAATGTACCGGACGTCTTATCCTTTAGGCCACGACGACTTTATTTACATACGAGTTTACATACTTTAATTACAAGGCTTGTTGTATTTTCATAGCCATTACGATCGAGTGACGTGTAGTACCGTAACGAGCTGTGAAATAAAGAGGTTCTCGCGTGAAACTGCCATCATTAGCAGGAGACTCGGGTGATTGCTTATTTTTGACCGCCACAATGGCCAATTAGTGTCTTATCCTTTAGGCCACGACGACTTATGCTAGTTGTTTGCTAATTTCCCGGTGTCGCTGCTCGATATGCGGACCACGCACCTCTGCTGCGGCGTGTGCGCCGAGCCCTGCGCGAGCGGCGTGTTGGAGGAGCGCGCGACGCCCCGCAGCGACAGGTGGCGCGAGCAGAAGCCCCGCCGCTGGCTCTCCTTAGTGCAGCCGTCCTTCGAACACAGCCGCCTCCACTGTTTGCCGTTGAACTTCTTCCTTATACCGGTCGGAGTCGATACGACATCGCCCTTCTTATATTTGTGCGGGGTTGCCGCTTGAGATCTGAAATATAAAAAAAAACGATATGTTTAGAGGCCAGCGGTCGGGGAATCGGGGTAAATTACCCCAAATGGGGTAAAATGACATTTTGTTGGGTAAAAATGAAACTTTGTGAGTAAAAAGTATATATTGAAGGGAAACTTCTTTAGAATCGTTGTGGTTTCAAATTATCATGGGGCTATAATATGAAAGATGCTAAAAAGAAGCGATTTCGTTTTTTTCTCTATTACACAAAAATATTTTGGGGTAATAAATAAAAAAGTTCCCCGACCGCTGGTTTAGGCAAAAAACGTATCGTAACGAGTACAAAAAACAACTCTTTTTTTTTGTTCTACCTAAGCTGATAACGCATGAGAAGCTATGTCAGCGTAACCTAACAAGTAAGTGAGCTCACGGGCTCAAACCTGATGACATTGCTAACACTAGCCCTAGCAAGAGCAGTGCTTCGCAGAATCTACCACCGGATCGGAAACGCGATCCACTGAGGAGATCCGGCGAGAAACTCAGGGGGCTGTGTGACGACGGTGACCGGTGTTTGAGGTACCTAGAAGAACTATTAGTGGATCGGGAATATCCGAAATAACGTGTTTAAGGCGACGTCGACTGTTTACCATTCGGTCCGCGGGATCAGGAATGTATACATACCCCCTTACAGAGCAATTAATCACCTCAATAGAAAACACCACATATATAACGTTCCGAAAATAATCGAGGGCGCACACGAAGAGACAGCAATCGATAACTTGCACAAATTTGACGGATCGTTCACCCCCTTCGAACGCTTAGGTAGGATAAATAAACGTACCAAATGAACAGTCGTACAATATGCGGCCCAACTAAAATAGCCATTAAGTAAATTATAATTTGCGTAATTACTGGTGGTAGGACCTCTTGTGAGTCCGCGCGGATAGGTACCACCACCCTGCCTATTTCTGCCGTGAAGCAGTAATGCGTTTCGGTTTGAAAGGTGGGGCAGCCGTTGTAACTATACTCGAGACCTTCGAACTGATATCTCAAGGTGGGTGGCACATTTACGTCGTAGATATCTATGGGCTCCAGTAACCACTTAACACCAGGTGGGCTGTGAGCTCGTCTACCCATCTAACCATAAAAGAAAATAAAAATTTTATATCGATACTCTACTTGACCTTGAGATAATGAATTCTAGAATGATACCTACCTAGGCGTAGGGGGTTGAGATCGGGGTGTGAGGCTGCGCTCAAGCAGACTCGATGCGCTGCCTCGGCTCTGTAGGCTGCTGCGTTTACTGTTGCTGCAATCTGAATCAATGAATATTTGTCTTACAAAAATATAATTGGTTGTCAATAAAGTCGGTTTACGGACGATAGTATTACGTGATAACGTCAGTAGCAGAACTATTCGAATTGGTAGCTGTGACGTCACACGAGAAAACAAATAAATGTGTCACACTGGCGGTTACTGGTGCTAGGACCTCTTGTAAGTTCGCACGGATAGGTACCACTACCCGGCCTATTTCTGCCATGAAGCAGTAATGCGTTTTGGTTTGAAGGGTGGGGCAGCCGTTGTAACTATACTGAGACCTTAGAACATATCTCAAGGTGGGTGGTGCATTTACGTTGTAGATGTCTATGGACGCCAGTAACCACTTAACACCAGGTGGGCTGTGAGCTCGTCCACCCATCTAAGCAATAAAAAATAAATAAAAAAAGTCCAACGCTTGGGCAACGATCGTGCCTCTCTAACGCTTGTTCCACGCTCTCGCTTGCACGCTCAGGCTCGGACGGAACGTGACACTTTTTCGTGCGTGCAGCCGGTGTTCATCGATTTATAAGACGTTAGTTACCACGTCAACAAAAAAACAAAAAATTCCTGTTAACTTTTAATTATTATTTTTATATGTTTGTACACACAGCTATTAGAAGAAACACGACAATAAGGATACAGAGTACAAGGGCACTACTTATTTCATGTTGAATTCTGAAGAGATTTGCGGAAGGAAAGAAGAATTAGGAACACAAACATAGTGCATACAGTAAACATTACATATAATAATATATACATATTACAAGATAAAAAAAATACACACACACACACGCACGCACACACGCACACACGCACGCACGCACATACACACATACATATACTTACTTTATATTATAATTAATTACGGCAATATTCTTTCATTTAGAAATGTCACTTGTAAGCATGCCTTGAACTATTTCTCTCACTCACCCATGTGCGATACATCAGTTGAGAACATGATGTCCTCGCGGCGCAGTTCGTCATCGCTCTCCGGGTAGTCGTCGAAGGTTCGCTTCCTCAGCTCGTCCATCGAACCGTTCGAAAGCGCCCCGACCGTGACCACGCCCGAACCGGCGCCGGGCATCGGAGAAGAGGTGTAGAAGTGGTCGCCGCCGATCTAAATTCAAACGTGAAAGACCTAAATGAGTATCGTCAAGACGCACCGTAATATTCATCTATACTATTATCACTACATCTCGAAACACTTCTAATCACCGGCAAAGTGGAAAGAAAGAGGCCGGGGGGGCGCATTTCCATGCGCTGGTCCCATCAGATTAAGACCACTTTGGAATCCAGCATCAGTGTCGCTATCCACTGCGCGGAGGACAGGAGTGAATGGAAGAACATAGTTCTAACAAAAGTGCTCCGTAAAGGTCACTACCCTCAGCACTGAGGAATACGACGCACGGAGGAGGATTATCACTACATAGTATAAAACAAAGTCGCTTTCTCTGTCCCTATATCTGTCTGTCCCTATGTATGCTTAAATCTTTAAAACTAAGCAACGGATTTTGATGCGGTTTTTTTAATAGATTAGAGTGATTGAAGAGGAAGGTTTATATATATAATAACATCAATTACATAGCTGAAAAATCAATAATAAATTACAGTTTACGAAGCGAAGCGAGGGCGGGGCGCTAGTATATAAAGAGGAAAGATTTGTTTGTTTGTTTGTATTGAATAGGCTCCGAAACTACTGAACCGATTTGAAAAATTCTTTCACTGTTTGGAAGCTACGCTATTCCCTAGTGACATAGGCTATAATTTTTTTTGGAAAAAAAATTGGTGATCCTTACTAAAACTCCAATAATGTAAGCCAAGGTGTAAAAAAATTACCTAAAATATTCTTTACATCGCGTGCCTGCGAAAACTATTGATGATAGAATAAAATAATATACTACGACTTTGTAGAACACATCATTATTTACAAAAAGTGTCGCGACAGCATATGTCTAACGATTATAGTTATGCCGCAATAAATGTTCTTTTATTAAAAAAAAAAACAACGTGTAATATCGTTGAAACCTTTGTTAAAGACCCGAGCGGAGCCGGAGCGGGCCGCTAGTTAAGTTATAAACACACGAATAAACGCTTTTTATAACCACCGTTTTTAGACCACTTTCGGAATCCAACATCAGATCGCCTTTCTGGTACACGCGACGCGATAATCGAAAGATTATTAATAGTACTTAAATATTCAAGTTTGCCGTTGTAAGCAATATGTAAGTCAAATATGTAAGTACTGATAGCAAAAAAAAAACGCTTTATCATCTTTATTAGTGTATTGTATTGTTTAAAAGCCAATACTTTAGGTCCTAAAGCATGTACATGTCTCGGACGCGCGATGATGAAATTACAAACATAGAACATATTATTAACGCGTTCAAGTAAGAAGAAGGTGATGGTCACGACCCACAGACATGTGGAATGCGACTCGGGGAGGAGGAAGAAGAAGGTAGCGGACACCTTGGGACAACGTCTTATAATCAATTTGAATTTCTAATTAGAGGCGAACATGAAACAATAGCCTGAAGGACAATCAACACGAACCCAACGAAACCACACCGGTCGCTACGTTTCTTTGCGATCGAAAACTATACGCACAAGATATTATAGCTATCAATTTAATTCCAAATCCTCACTCCTATCGACCTAATAAAATTCATAGAAAAAATAAAAAAACTCTTGACCTTTAACATTTTTGCGTAATTAACGAATGGAAGGACGTACTGTTTATTCTCACGGTATATATATATCTACATCCTGCCTCGTTTGAGTGCTAATTTCGAAATAAGCGTTCCGGTTTTGTGAGCGGGTCAGCAGTTATACAATTGAGGCTTCGACGTACCCCCCAAGGTTGGTGACGACATTCCCGTTCCGATAACTATGGGCTTAAGCCCATAAACAGTAAGCACCAGGTATCCTATGAGCTCACCTACCCACCAGTAGAGGTAGATATGAAAGAAAAAAATAAATAGAGCAAAGTTTACTAGTGGCAGGGCCTCATGTGAGTCCGCACGGGTAGGTACCACCACCCCGCCTATTTCTGCCGTGAAGCAGTAATGCGTTTCGGCTTGAAGGGTGGGGCAGCCGTCATAACTATACTGAGACCTTAGATCTTATATCTCAAGTCGGGTGGCGCATTTGCGTTGTAAATGTCTATGGGCTCCAGTAACCACTTAACACCAGGTGGGCTGTAAGCTCGTCCACCCATCTAAGCAATAAAAAAAAAACCAGAATCATGTTACCAACAAACTAAATTTAATTAATTTTCAAAAGAAGCTTGTCTGAAGATTCACATCCGGCGCATCGGTCTGAGTTGTCGTTTTCCCTAAGCACGTAACGTATTATTATCTTCTTCGAACGTCAAAATTCTGAGAATCATTTATATGTGTGTAATGTATAGACGGCCTATATAGATCAATAGCCATAGTACTTATATATTTTTTACGCAACTACGACAACTAATTGACAGATAAAACAAAGAGTGGCATTTGCTTTAGCGCTGCTGACGGTACATTATGTTAGCGGATGCGGCTAAAGGTATAGCAAGGTAACAGCAAACTCTAAACTATAGATAACCATAAAAGGAGAAAATTAATGCCACTCAAAGTTATTACAATTTCAATACGGCTTTGTATTTAAATGTAACGTGATACAATATGTTGAGGTAACCGTTCAACAATTCTCTAATTCAACAATCGAGTTTACGATGAACGACATTGATGAGTCAGGATTTCATAGAAAACCCGCACGTTTTGTTAGCGTGACACACCGGTATTGTGTGGTCACAAAAATGTGTACGTAAGGTTGCGTTCCATTCGTAATTTTATTACATTATATGAGTCGTCTATTATCAAAGGTGGCAATCTGTGCATTTGGACAAAAAAAAATTATTGATATTTCAATACAGATTGATTTGAATATAATCGTCTCCTTCAAATAATACGGTTCAAAACCTGCATTAAATAAAGGTTAATACTTAACCTGTTATTTATTAAGATGTCGTTCAGAAGAGTTTTGTGACTGCCAATGGAATACAAAGTCAATAATTCGTTTTTCTGATTTACCAATAATTATCCAAAAGTCACATTGCCGGCTTTGATAATAGTCGACTCATATGTAGTTAAAGCTTCCTTAGTTTTGTGCATAACATTGAAAAATACTAACGATAATGGTATAAATGATCTACTTACTGGTCAGTCGCTGAGTTGTAATATAAATAAGACGATTTGGACCAAGGTCGCTTGGCGTGAAGCATCGCATTGTTAGCGAATTATAGTATCAAATAGAAAAGACCATATCGAGGGGTGAAAGGCCATTCGGTTTAAATGACATTTTTACAACTTCACAGAACAACCATTGTATAAAATTTGGAAAAAATATCATAACAAAAAACTTACACCCGAGGAAAAATGTAATCTATATATTAATACGTGAAGCAAAAACTTTGTATCCCTTTTACGAAATTGCGCGGACGGAGTATGAAATTTTCCACACTTATAGAGATTATAGAGAAGAAATGCACAATGCTATTTTTTTTTTAAATAATGCATAAAATATACATTAAATCAATAAAGAAACCATTACACACACTACCATGTATTTGACACACACACACGCATGCATACATTTGTTTATTGTCAAACTTTTCTTTGCAGTCTGTCAAATTGAGAATAGATTAAATATTGTTTTCTCTTTACTAATATTTGTCTAAAGTGTAGTCTTGTTCGTCAAGAAGATTGTGTGATTAAAGAAGTACAATAGTCCTTGACAATAGAATCATAATAGTGTACAAACTTATAATTACCATTAAATTTAGACTACCAGGGGACCACTAGTCTTCTTAATTTCCAATAATAAAAACTATAAATTTGACTGTACGAAATTACAATTTTGAGAATAATCTGTCAGATGGTGCTGATGTACAAAGCGTGACGCGACATTGACAAAAACATGAAATCTTAGAATATTATTTAACTTTTCAATACCCAAAAAATAAAGTGTTGTTCGGATCTTTGGAAACTGGAAAACTATTTTCGAATAATATTAAAGCTACTTACGCCAGTTTTATTTATCAACCTTTCAATCTTGAGGCGTGTGTTCGGATTAACATAACAATAAAAAACAAAGAATAAGGTCAGATGTCAGAAAAATATGACAATCATATACTAAATAACGTAATAAAATACCAACGTGAGATCGTTTAGGAATTTGGATGAAATTTTGAAAAATGAGTTTATAACCTAGATTCACACAAGATATTTTTTTATCGTAAACAAAGAGCTACCTACTTTAATGACAAGGTTTATCATAGAAAGGGAAATGACGGTTATTACTGCTGCAATTAATATGACAGTAAACTCGATGGTTCGTGATTTACGTATCAAAAGATCAAGATCAATCTTTTGAAAGTGATGCAAGCAACTTTTTATCCCGAGAAATATCGCTTAAGATGAGCGAAACTACGATGAAAAGTCAAGCAATATACATATATAACAATCAAATAATATGGATGTAGGAATAATTGGACTAGATGATGCGAAGCTGTTTTTGACGATTGCACCACATCAGATGATGCTTCAACACTACCAATATTAAGACAAATTTAAATGGCCGAAATACAATAACAAAATGTAGCTTTACAATAACAAACATATAGTTTTTAGTAAATAATATAGCCTTACAATAACAAACACATAATATCTTTTTAGTAAATGATAAAATCCAGCTACATTTAAAAAAAACTATTCTGGTTAATAGGCAATTAAAACTGTGTAAGACTTCTGACTTTGAACGTTTATTATTACGAATATTTCTGGCCATGTCAAATGAATAATTTAAGTTAATAAAATTAAAATATACGAAAGATCAAACATTTCCTGTTGTTACCAAAATATACAATGACAAATATTCCTTTCAAACACAAAAATCGTTTTGTTTGGAAACTTTTTTTTAAATCAGATATTTCAACCCTGGCAATGCAATGAATATCTTTTCGTAATTAAAAACAAAATGCAGGCACAAGAAGTAATCGATTTTTTTTTTAAAACTAACATATACACGTAGGTACATCCATTAAGGCGGTAATAATACACAAGGTATTGCATCTCAAGAATTATGCACGGTGTTTGTATAAATTTGCATACTGCTAATCAGTTTTCATTCGACACTTCCATAGCTACCTTCTCCAATGCATTCTTTTTTTGTGACATACAAATCGGATTAGCAATGAATCCTTTGACTCGATAAAAAAAAAACAAATGTTATCATAAGAGTCAGATGTAAATTGACATCTTCTTTTACTGCGTAATGCGAAATCTGGTTTAGATTATTTAGAAATTATAAACAGTCTCAAAGGCGCAAAATCTTTACTACCTCAATGTTTAATAGCCTAAGTACTGCTGTATGCTAGACCATATGGTCTAGATTCATGTGTGATGTATTATATTGTACCACACGTAATAATTTTTCCAAATCCATAACAGTTTTATGCAGTTCCAAAACTAAAAAAATCGATTACCATCTACCAAGATAAGATAAATTCATGTAAAATAGATAGGACGATTGGATAATCGTGTGGTAACTTGTTTATCGATGGTCCGACGTAATACACCTGAATGAACATATGAATTTTTAATGCTAGCTTCAGTGAAGTGAAATATAAAAATAAATAAATAAATACACTAACTAACATGTACATGAGAGACTTCGATTTTACAAAATTAAGACTTGACTTCAAACAACAACAACAACAAAATAATCTACGCATTGTATTATCGTAAATTATCTATATATTAATACTTGATGCAAAAACTTTGTACTCCTTTTTACGAAAATTGCGCGGACCGAGGAGTATGAAATTCTCCACACTTATAGGGAATATAGGGAAGGAGTGCAGAACGCTAACATTTTTTTTAAATTATGCATAAAAAATACATTAAATCAATAAAAAACATAACTACCGTGTATTTGACACAACACAAACAAATGCTTACAAACAACACAAACTTTTGGTTTGTTTAAAGGGTGTGGTCAATTTGAGAATAGGTTCATATTGTTTGTCTTTAATATTAATAGTGTAGTTTTGGCGAAATCTGTGATTATATTATATAAGTATGATAGTGTTTGACAATAGAACCATAATAAAAATAAAATTTAAATTAAATAAAGTTGAATTTCGAATACTGCGGGACCACTAGTCATATTATTAAAAATTTTAAAGTTATCGTTTACAATGAATGACAATGATGAGTCAAGATTTCATAGAACGCGCTAGTTCTTGTACGCTCGTGATAGGCCCGTATCGTGCGTACATTATAATAATGTGTACACAAAACATTAAATTGTGTGCGTGCGTGCCTCGAGTAGAGCTTGCGTATACTATTTATATCATACGGATGTGTGTTGATATTGCGGTATTTCGCACATACACACATACGTTTAGTCCAGACTTTTACTGCACCGATTGAAGCAGCACGTACATACAATCCATACGCAGCTTGTAATTTATATATCTATTTTTTTTATTGCTTAGATGGGTGGACGAGCTCACAGCCCAGCTGGTGTTAAGTGGTTACTGGAGCCCATAGACATCTACAACTTAGACGCGCCACCTACCTTGAGATACAAGTTCTAAAGTCTCAGTATAGTTACAACGGCTGCCCCACCCTTCAAACCGAAACGCATTACTGCTTCACGGCAGAAATAGGCAGGGCGGTGGTACCTATCCGCGCGGACTCATAAGTGGTCCTAGCACCAGTAAGCACAAGCCCGAATTCTACTAGTCTTTATATTCCTTATGTTATTGCGAGTCTGTACACTTAATATTATTATAATGTATGCATCAGCGATTTCGAAATAGGGGTCCCCTAAATAGAAAGATTCCGTGTGAAAGTCACCTGGATTCCGTGAATCAGTCACTCACGAAATATTATATGACTTCGAGTATTCTCACGCGTTTCGAAAAATTTGATATATGAACCGCCACATAATTAGACAGCCATTTCAATTTAATACGTATGTGGATTAGGAGAGTCGTACACAAAATTTCAAAACAAAATAATAAAACAGTAAATTTAAAATGAAATTGAATATGCAATTTCGAAAAGGGTACATGTCGCATATTTTGTCAAATAAGTTTTTTCATATACATGTAGTTTTGAGGCTTACCTACACCCATTTTATAATAATTCCAGTAATTTTCAATTGCTAATTAATACTAAAATATATCTCAAAAGTTAATATTTCAAATTTTACACTGCTTAGAAAATAATCAGTTTTTTCTCATTTTCTGAACATTTTAAATTTTCAGAGATATGCCCTTTTGTAATTCGTTCACTGACCTGATGCGGCGGATGGTGTACTCGCATTGGATGCGCGTGCAGTGACGAGGACACGTGGGAGCCGGCGTCTTCCAGTTCATCAGCCCAGGGTGGCTGCATCAGCCGGATATCCGCTCGCTTCACTTCCACCGCCTGCTTGCACAGGTCGCCATCTCTCACCTGGACGACAACGATCGTGTCACAACCGTATTGGATTTCGAAACAATGACGGACGAAATTTTTCAATGTAGAATACTTAAACGAATACTCTCACATTATATCTATACTAGTGGTCGCTCGGTTGTCGAAATTCGACTATAATAATACTAATAATACTATAATAAACTGCGGAACCACTAGTGTATAATAAATATTACAAATACACGTAAAATAAAAGCAAAAAACAAATAACAAAATCGCACAACCAACATTATTATATAGCAAAATTTCAAACGAAATAATATCCATTATAAATTTACCTCAACACGTATCCTTATTGGCGAATTTAACACCTCTAAGATGAAACCTTCGACGAATACATTTTGAACGTTTTCTCGATTGGGGTCAGAGGTACGCACGACGCACGGCAGACCCATCAGCAAATGGCTCATCTGCGGGCTGGCATCGCCGATAACATCCAGTTTGTTCATACCAAACACGTCACTGTATTCGACAGGTTCGTTTTCATAACCGTCTAACTCTACCGTCACTTTACAACCTTCGGCATGTCTTATCGCTCCGGGTACATAAAAGCCCCGTTGCTTGGCCAAAACTCGGTGGTCACGCCATTCGGACAAATCAATGTTTGGGTATTGGATGAAAAACGGCTTCACGTCTTGAGGTGGAGATTGCCGTACTATTGGCGATGGTTGGAGCACTGGCCGTTGGTAATTGTGGAAGTCGAGTACCGACGCCGTCGAAGTGTTGATCGTGTTATTATTGGGACAGGTCTGCTGCATCTCCTCTAGCGAGGAAGGGTCAAATTTGCGTTTCTTGGGCAGATTCCTCACTGGGTTTTGTGTTGGCGTTTGATGGACCGTCGACTGAGTAGCGTTGCCGCTGCTGGCGTTGCCGAGATTAGTCGGATTGGCCATGTTTATGTTTTTATGGTTGGTAGATGATTGTGACAGGCTCACTGTGCCGACACTGCTTATCACAGAAGCAGGAATCTAAAACAAAATTGTAATATAAATACGTGATTCTTTATAGTAATTTCCAATCTATACTAATATTATAAAGCTGAAGATTTTGTTTGTTTGAACGCGCTAATCTCAGAAACAAGTGGTCCGATTTAAAAAAATTCTTTCAGTGTTAGATAACCCATTTATTGAGGAAGGCTATAGGCTATATTATAACATCACGGTAAGACCAATACAAGTGGAGCACCAATAAATAATGTTTCAAAATAGGGGTTTAAATAGCTCCTTAACATTCTATAATTAAAAAATATTTTCACTTTCTACGTAAATGAAGTGTGGTTAAAATTTAGTGTTAAGCCAAAGTAACTATTTCACGCGGACGGAGTCACGGGCAAAAGCTAGTATTCTGATAAACGTTGTCTATATTCGTATTTCTTCCTCCAAGCCTATTGGTCCTCGAGGGGAATAAAGACCACAACGCTCCAACAACACATAGAAATAACTACAAAGAAACAAAAATATACGTCGCAGTTGGAGGAGGCTTTTGTCGATTGACAAAGAGATCTACAGAAACTAAGTAAAATCCAAATAAGAGACTAGTTTATATAATTATAATATGAATCTGAATAATAGGCTATTCATTCATATTCATATTTTGAGTGAATATTAATATTTAACACCGATCTAGATAGCTTGATATTACAATACAACGTTTAACTATACACAACATTTTTACGTCTCATTGTTCTTTATCAGTGGGACGAGGTGTAGGTGAATGAATGATTACCTGATCATCAATATCTGGGTAGTGGCCGTGTGAACGATAATGAGGGTGAGCGGGGGCGGGGGCGGAGGCCTGCGGCGGGGGGGCGCCGCCCGCGTGCTCTCGCTGCATCACCGCCTCCCGCTACCACATAGCACCCACTGCTGTTATCGCACCTGCCTTCTGAAAAAGAGTATCGATTATTACAGTAAAATGTGTCCGTACGTTGAAATTATAAACACAAAAAGGTTAAGATATAGTAGATTGGGGGGAACAGCGACTAGAGGTAGAATAGGGATAAATCTGGGATGTTACGATACTTTTGTTGAGTTGTTAGATTTCAATTTATTGAACTGAAAATGACTTTTATTTAGCGTTTAAGAATATTAAATAGTTTATTTTAGTCATCAAAGTTTTGTAAGTCATTAAAAATATTAAAAACTTCATTACCTAAAGTTAGGTACCTATCTAAAACTACCAAATAGTACCAGCCCTATCGAAAAACTTTGTTGTCCCTATACGTAACCTGATTCACCCCAAAGCCAGGTGAAACGGGTCAAAGTAGCTTTTTCAGTTTTTATGTATATGTATTTTGTAACGAACTATGTATAATAACGCATCGTATATAAAAGTTTAAGCCTCCGTTATTATGATATCCGTTTTATTACTATTATACTTTTATTACTAATTTACAAAAAACTGTAATGTAACTGTACTGTTGTATTACTATTATACAAAAAACGATAAAAATCAATGTCGAACTTAAAAAGTGTCCCGTTTCCCCCCATTTTACGGCATTCAAAAAGTGCATCCTTAACACAAAGTCACGTGAGCTTGATCGTGTAACTTATTAAAAAAGAACAGCGATCAATCTTTGATGAATTTGTATTTAAAAAAATTTATATATTTATTTTATCTATTACACCATAACGATGGATCTGAATATTTAACAAGGAAATTAAGCGTATACGGTAAAAAAATATAGAACACGTTATACATACTGTAAATATAATATTTTAACAAATAGACTACTCGTATTATATAAACCGAAAAAGCAGTTAATATTTAGTTTTTCCTCTGTTATTTTTTTACTTTCAGTATATGTACATTACATACAGCCATACACATATTATTAATACGTGAAGCAAAAACTTTGTATCCCTTTTTACGAAAATTGCGCGGACGGAGTAGTATGAAATTTTCTACACTTATAGAGAATATAAAGAAGAAGTGCACAATGCTAATATTTTTTTTAAATAATGCATAAAAAATACATTAAATCAATAAAGAAAACATTACACACACTACATACCATGTATTTGACGCACACACGCATGCATACTATTTATTGTCAAACTTTTGTACTTGACGTCTGTGGTCAAATTGAGAATATATTAAATATTGTTTGTCGTTAATTAATATTTTTTTATAGTGTAGCCTTGGTGAAATTTGTGATTATAGAAGTATAAAATATAATCATAATAGTGTACAAACTTACAATTCCAATTAATTATAGTCAAATTTCGACTACTGCGGGACCACTAGTACATATTATTATACTACACATATTTCTGTCGCGAACAATAGTGCGATCAGTGTGCTGAGTGCGAGTTTTTTTTAACGTTCTCGATAGCGTAAAAGTTAACTCAAATTTGTATGGAGTTGGAACGTTTGCCTAGGTTTGCCGCTAGGGGCGCACTAAGCACACTAAACGATCCGAATTGAAAGTTCACCGTCATACCCATGGGACTTCAATCTCATGCCTCAAACGGGCGTCGGCGTTCGCCTTGTAGTGTCTGTCTATTAACAATGGCAACCAGTAAACTACACTCCATAGGTAGACTAAATAAACAAGGACCTTCAAAAACAGATTGGACCTTACGATCTCGACAAATACAAATGAAACGGCCCATTAATAAATAAATAAAATAAATATTTACTAACAATCACGCCACGTTAACTGGTCCCGTGATAAGTTCGTAAAGAACTTTTGTTACAGGTACCAGATAACGGAAATAAATGTAAGATTTTTATTATACACATACATATATTTAATATACATCCATAACCCTGGAAAAGACATTTATATTTATCATACAAATATCTTCCCTTGCCGGGATTCGAACCCGCGACCCCCTTATGTAGTGACCATGTCACTTACCACTACACCAGACGGCCGTTAAACACCAGACGGCCGTTAATAAAATAAAATCTTAAATTATAAATAACCAACAAATAGTATGCTTGATCAATATTCAAACAGTATTAATTAATAGCTCAAAATAACATCGGCACAAAGTTTGAAATAAAGCCGTGAACACAATGTTCGGTGATAAGAGGCTTGTTCTTTGTTCTAAGAGGGGATTTTAATGTTGGCGGGAACGGATTCTCTCGTGACTGTCTCGCTCTCGCAGTCTGGGTACAAAGGAACAAAAAGTGTTGAAAGGATAAGTACTTAGAGCCCGTCGTCTACTTCAGACTTCAATATCATCGCTTACAGTATTTTTTTTAAATACAGCTAACATTGAAAAATATTTCAAACAATATTCAAACATTACTTATATGTTTTATCATAAATGTTTTTTTACACCACAAAGCCGTCCTGACGTGCAAACTAACTGGGAAGATTAATTATTCCCAAGAACAACACTTATTATCAGTATTGGCTAAATGAAAATTAATTATTCGGAAAATAAAACAGTACAAAAAAAGGTTTTGGCTTGTGTGTATCTCTTAATAAAACAAAATATGTATTCCTTGAGGACTTCACCGAACAAGGAATAAATCGCGTAACAAATTCAAGCCCACAATATTTACATTTTTGCGGAATTTCGTTACGCTGCACGTATCCGTACTGCCGTCCTATTTCCATCACAACAGTCACAAATGTTTCGATTTGAGGATTAGAATAATCGTTATTCCAATTCGGTACAAACATCGAATTCATATCTAGAGGAGGCCGGCGTTCACGTAGTTCTAAGGTCTTCGCTTAACACCAGGTATGGCGTTGACACGACTACTATGCCAATAAAAATAAACGTGAACAAGAAACAAAAGTCGAAAGTAATTACACTATAAGACGTATCTGATCAGTGCTCACTGATTATAATTTAAAAGCGGCGTATCCAAACACAATGATGAGACATTTTATTAGTTTTAAAATACCAAACAAATCTAACATCACTAGGTACCTACATAGTATAAAACAAAGTCGCCTTTTCTGTCCCTATGTATGCTTAAATCTTCAAAACTACGAAACGGATTTTAATGCGGTTTTTTTTAATAGATAGAGTGATTGAAGAGGAAGGCTTATATGCATAATAACATCCATTAAATAGTGCAGAAATGAATAATAAATTACAGTTTCCTAAGCGAAGCAAGGGCGGGTCGCTAGTTAAATATAAAGCTCATAATATTGGAATTGTAAGAAAAACTAAATCATCTGACGGTTAAAAAAATGTTACGAATTTCAAACACTAAAATATGTACAAGAAATGTTTTTATCATACTGTGGTCGTAGGTCAGAAATGACGAACCGTGTCATAAAACACCAGCTTTTTGATGGTGCTACGTGCTAATGTATTCTGGGCACGTCCCGCCACATACTTCTTGCTCGATTGTATCTATCGTAAGATAAAAAGCGGCTCTACTATTGGCCATTTTAAACATCAAATAGCAATGAAAGCATTCATGACGTGTCACGATGATTCAATTTAATATTGATATTCATAAATCTTGTTTGACGATATCTAATCCCAATTAAGTAGTGGAGTTCACACAATGTCATTTTTGTCCCCGAACTTCTATTCTTAAAATAAATATGAGGAACCATGCGCGGATCATAATAAAAAAATGCTTAATAACACATCTATCTATCATTACCGTCTTTACATGCCCAAACAAAGTTCATTTTTTATTGTATACTTTACTATTTTCTTAGGTTTTCCAGAGTCGAAGTCACGAACTAAATCTACTTTTACGGTTTAATCTCGTGTTCCTTATTAACTACATATTATTACCGAAACTTCAAATACTTTACGATTGTCGTGGTGACACACGTTTTATTAATATACGAGCATCTATTTTATGTCAATTATAATAAGACCTAATTTATTTTATCAATATCTGTGCGTATCCGAATTTAATTTTTTTTACATTTAAAGCTGTCATTTCGTGCGTAAGGACATGTTTATTACGGAAAATATTATAAATTTTAAAATAAAGGCAATTAATCATCATTCTATATCTATTTTATTATTACAATATTTTTTTATGATTGAATATTTACTGGTGGCCCGGAGGCCTTTCCAGTTTCACCAGGACAGGTGGGCGAGCAAAGGCTCAGCCAGAAGGGGTGGGATTTGCTAACAGCTGCCCGAGCGCCTCCGAAGGAGACCTAACAACTCAAGAGCAACTGCTTCGCGAATGAATCTACTACCGGATCGGAATCGCGACCCGCTCAGAAAATCTGGCGAGAAACTCAGCTGATGCATGGGTTATTATTACTATTGTACGCATCTTCGCTCATAGACATTGGTACAGCAAACTCGATTCCTGCTGCCAATGCCTTTTTTCACACCTCATCCCGATGATCATCGTTATCGTCGAGTCCATCTCTTGCGACGAAGGGCTCGGCGAGTAAATTTACCCACAGATACAGCCCACTGAGTTTCTCGCCAGATCTTCTCAGTGGGTCGCGTTTCCAATCCGGTGGTAGATTCTGCGAAGCACCGCTCTTGCTAGGGATAGTGTTAGCAACGTCGTCAGGTTTGAGCCCCATGAGCTCATCTACTTGTTAGGTTACGCTGACATAGCCTCTCAAGGCTTAGGTAGGAAAAAACACCTCATTTTAAGGATACGTCATAGCGCTCGGGAAACATTATCGAGGGAGTTCGTTCCGCAGTCGACAATACAGTACGAAGAATTCTAGCTGATATTACTTCTGGTGTGATTGGTGCGATAATAAGAAAAAACAAGAATCCTTTAAGATTATTATTTTTATACATGAATCTACCCTATTTCAATCAAACAACTGAGACGAATTAATTAAACGAATGACAGACTCATTCGTTGACTAGCTGTACCCGTCCGCTTCACTGGGCATTTAAAATTAACATTATTATTTCACACCCCCACAAAGATTCTCATCATTAACGTCCCCGCAACTGGTGTAGGGAGTCCAA